ATTTTTAAAGTTATCGATTTTGTTAGCCTAGCTAAGGATTTGTCAATTTTTTTAAACCAACTGTTAGTTTTGTTGTTGCTTTTCTGTTTTTCTATTCTGTATTTCATTTACTTCTGCTGTAGTTTCCATTATTTCTTTCCTCTTGCTAATTTTGGGTTTAGTTTTTTTTTTCCTCCTACTTTTTTGAGTTATAAGGTTAGATTGTTGATTTGAGATCTTTGTGTTTTACCGCTATAAACTTCATTATTACCACTGTTTTCACTGCATACAATTTGTTATATTTTGTTTTCATTTTCATTTATCTGAAGATACCTTGTAATTTACCTTCTTCTTTGACTTGTTTTTTTTTTTTTTTAAACAGCATGTTTAATTTTCACGTATTTGTGACTTTTTCTACTTTTCTTCTGCTTTTGATTTAAAGTTTCATTCCATTGTGTTCAGAAAATATACTTGGTATAATGCCACTCTTCCTAAATTTGTTAAGACCTGGGTTGTGACATGTGACCTATCCATGAGAATGTTCTGTGGGCCCTTGAGAAGACAATGTGTATTCTGCTGTTGTTTGATAGAGTATTCTGTATGTCTGTTAGATCCAATTGGTATATAGTGTTGTTAAAGTTCTCTGTTTCCTTATTGATATTCTGTCTGATGGTTCTATCCATTATTGAACGTGAGGTATAGAAGTTTCCTACTATAATTGTGTTGCTGTCTGTTTCTCCCTTTCATTCTTTCAATGTTTGTTTCATATATTTGGAGCTCTGATGTTAGGGTGTGTGTGTGTGTGTGTGTGTGTGTGTGTGTGTGTGTGTATTTGTTACAGCTGGCAAATGGACCCTTTTATCATTATGTTCTTTATTGTCTGTTTTGACAGTTTTTGACTTAAAGTCTATTTTGTCATACATAAGTGTGGCCCATCTTTACTCTCTTTTTGTTACTATTTGCATGGAATATCTTTTTCCATTCTTTCACTTTCATTATGTGTTGTGTTTTACATCCAAAGTGAGCCTTTTGTAGGCAGCCTATAGTTAGATTTTATTTTTTAAAAACATTAAGTCAGCCTGTCTTTTGATTGCAGAGTTTTATCCATTTGCATTTAAACTGCTAATTGGAAGGGACTTAATATTGTCATTTTGTTTTTTTCTCTGATTTGTAGGTTCATTGCTTTTCGGTTTTCTTTTGGTATGGTGATATGCTTTCATTCCTTTTATAATTCCTTTTGTGTATTTTCTGTAGATGTTTTCTCTGTGGTTACCATGGGGATTATATAAAACATCCTAAAGTTACAACTGTTATTTTAAACTGCAAATAACTTTAGTCATATAAGAGCTCTACTCTATATCTGCCTTACCACAACTTGATGTTACTGATGTGCCACACATCACATCTTTTTATGTTGCGTATCTGTTAACATATTTTTATTTTTTTTATGCTTTAAGTTCTATACCAGAATTAAAAGTGATTTGTGCACTAATATAACAAGATTACAGGATTCTTTATTTTTCTCCTCATCAACCTTTACTAAGGAGGTTCATATTTTTGTATACTTCCATGATGTTGTATAGTACTCTTTAATTTCCTTTTGAAGGACTTTCTTTAGCACTTCTTGTAGGATAGATATAGTGATGAAACTTCTTCAGCTTTTATTAATCTGGGAAAAATTTTAATTTCACCTTCATTTTTGAAGCATATTGTTGCCAGATATAGTATTCTTTGATTGGCAGTTCTTTCATTCACCGCTTTGAAAAGATGTTATCGCATTCCTTCAGGCTTACAAGGTTTCTGCTGAGAAATCTGCATGTTATCTAATGGGAGTTTTCTTGCATGTTTTTATGAGTTGCGTTTCTCTTACTGCTTTCAGGATTATTTACTGTGACTCAGACAGCTGGTTTATAATATATCTCAGTGTAGATGTTTTTGGGTTAACAATAGAGGTCATTGAGCTTCTTGAATTTGTATCTCCATTTTTCTTCTTTCAGTTTCAGACATTTTCAGCAACTATTTATCTAAATGAATTCCCAGCCCCTTTCTCTCTGTCTTCCTTTACTTCCCTTGTGTATATATTTGTCCGCCTGTTGATGTCCCAAAAGTCCTTTAGATTTTCTTAGCTTGTCTTCATTCTCTTTTTCTTCCTCTGGCGCGATACTTTCAGATGACCTGTCTTCAGAATTGTGGATTTTTTCTTTTGTTTTATCCAGTCTGCTCTTGATTCCCTACAGTGAATTTTCATTTCAGTGTATTCTTCAGCTTTATGATCTATTTGATTCGTTTCTACAATTTCTTTGTTGATGTTCTCACTTGTTGGTGCACCCTTTTCCGATTTTGCTGTTTTCTGTCTTCTCTTTCATCTCATTGAGTATCTTAATGATAGTTATTTTGAATTTATTGGGAGATAATTCATAGCTTTCTTTTTCTTTAGGGTTGGTTTTTGGAGATTTATTTTGTTTATTTGATTGGTCCGTGTTTCTCCGTTTATTTGTATGCTTGCTGAAATTTTAGCATTCGAAAAAACAGCCACATCTCCCAGACTTTGTGGACTCTTGTACACAGGAAAGGCTTCACCAGTCAGCCTTGCTAGAGATTCTGTGGGATTCTAAATAAAACGTTTTTTTGGGAGTGGGTGTGCTCTGTCTTCCCTGGGCTTTTGCTTGTACTCTTCCATCTGAAGAGGTTTGCCGCTCCACTCTGAAGCTCCCTCTGGTGCCTGTCTTTGCTATAGCAGCTGCCTCTGGTGCTTTGGCAAGCTGTTGTATTAGTGCTTCCTCTGCTGTCTGTCTGTGTTACTGCAGTTTCTCTGGTCCTGTATCAAGTTGTGGTTCCTGCCTTTGGTTTCTGAGGCTCACAGGCATCCAAAGTGCCATAGTCACAGTTCTTGCTCCAGGTTAGTCCTATCTGTCAGCTGAGACAAAATCTAGTGCCTTGAGCATCTTCTCAAAAAGTTGGATACAAGCTCCACCTTTCTCTTTCTTTTCTGATGTAGAAGCTGTGTTGGGAGATTGATTGATGGGGTATAGTGAATAAATGCAATGTAGTTTCCTAACTGTTCCAGTGTGCCTCTTTTTGGCCTTGTGCTCACCTGGGATGCCATATCCTCTCAATTAGTTTGTGGAATTCTCACACAGCCAATATATGCTTACATTGAAGTCATCTTCATAGGGGAAGCAGAGCCTGGGACTTCCTGTTCTGACATATTGCTGATCGTACCACAGTTTAAAAAAATCTTCCATCAAATGACTCCTGTGTTCTAAACCATTTGTTTTATTTATTCTCTGTTTTTTCTTCTTGTTTTTCTCCTGAAGCATTCTTTTATCTTAACCATTTTAAGTGTAATAATTCCTCAGTGATTGCTGGGCACAGTAGTTCATGTCTGCAATCCCAGCACTTTGGGAGGCCAAGGCAGGCAGATCACTTGAGGTCAGGAGTTTGAAACCAGCCTGGTCAATGTGGTGAAACCCTATATCTACTAAAAAGACAAAAATTAGATGGGCATGGTGGTGGGCACCTGTAATCCCAGCTACTCAGAGGCTGAGGCACAAGAATCTCTTGAACGTGGGAGGTGGCGGTTGCAGCGAGCCAAGATGGTGCCACTGCACTCCAGCCGGAGTAATAGAGTGAGACTCGATCTTCAAAAAAGAAAAATCACTCAGCAATGTGCTTGAAGATATATTCCTTTCCCTAAAGGCTTTTCTTTTTTAAGCTTTTTCCATTGGCATTACATTGTTACTTTAATTTGCTTTTCTATTGTTTTACATGTGTTTGTCTTGACAACCAGATTTAAAGTATGTTTATAGCAGATTATCTTAATTCTGTTGTTTTTCCCTCTATGCATATCTAATGCAATGTCATACTAGAAGATTGAAATTATTGGTTCCATGTAAAAAGTAGCAAGATGTATTTGTTGTTGAGAAAAGTGATTAATGGCATCTGCTCAGTGTAATTCTAAGCATTTATTACCTTTGGTTTAATATGTTATTCTTACACTTGGCTAGAGTTATTTTATTCTTTTCATCTTTTGTTTGTTGTTTGTTTGATTTTGAGACAGGGTCTGGCTCTGTCACCCAGGCTGGAGTGCAGTGGCACAATCTTGGCTCAAGTGATCCTTCCACCTCAGCCTCCCAAGGACCTGGGACCACAGGCATGCACTACCATGCCTGGCCAATTTTTGTGTTTTTTTTTTTTTTTTTTTTTAAGAGATGGGGTTTCGCTATGTTACTCAGGCTGGTCTTTAACTCCTGAGCTCAAGCAATCTTTGCCTGGCTCAGCCTCCCAAAGTGCTAGTATTAACAGTCGTGAGCCACTGTGTCTGGCCTCATTTTAAGAGATAAATGATGATAGTGTCATTAATGATGGAGGTTTAAATAATGATAATTAATATGTAGGTGTTAGAATTCTATTTCTATATTCCCCGGTTTTGGGGGGGAAAGGCTGAAATAAGTTGTTACTGAAGCTTAGATTTGTGACATTTTATGAAATAATTTGAGACATGTAGTGTGGTAGGTAGCATTTTTTAAAAAACAACTTAAAAATAATTTTGATTTGAGGATTTTAATTTGTGACATTGGATACCACTTATTTGTTGAATTTCTGGTGCTAATGTGATGGCTGCTATGCCTTCTAAATAGTAGTCATTCACTAGCTATTTGTCAAATGAGTGAGTCTTATTATTCTTTAGATTTATATTGTTAATGTGTTTTAAACTCTTACAGCATGTGAGCCATTTTCGAGTTTTTAATTTAATCTTCATAAGAACACTTGAAATACAGGAATTATATTGATCTCTCAAATGATAAGCAGTTATTTTCAGCAAAGTACATGATTTGCTTAAGATTCAATGAACAAATGATAATGCCAAGATTAAAATTACTGTCTCAGCTGGTAATGTTTCCCATTATATTAGAACAGTGACAGACAATATACTGACAAGCATCTACAGGTCTTATTGTCTTTTTTAAAAGATTCCCTGTGTGTTGAGTTTTATTTTTACCTTGATGTTTTTTCCTCAGCATCCACCAAACCCACCAGTATCACCAGGAAAAACTGTAAATGATGTCAACAGCAATAATAACATGCCTTACAGGTGAGAATTCATAGTCTGTCTAGTTTTTAAATAACAGGACAAGGTTCTAATTTTCTTTATTTGGGCAAAGAATCTTGCAGTATAGTCATGGTATTTACGTAGAGATAAGTGTTTGATATACTTGGTTAGTATGTTTTCTCTTCTTGCTTTGTTGTATTGTTTATCTTTGAATAATACTTTCACTAACTTAAAAGGCATTCTGTGGTCACTATGTATTTCTTTAACCACTTGTCTTAAATAGTATTCTCTCAAGTAATTGAGAAATGCTTCTCCTAAGGGCGAGAAGGACTAATGTTTGTATATGTTAGGACCTACTTTTGGTATTCAGGTTGAGTATTGATGACAGACGTTACAGTACAAGAGTTAAGACTCTTCCCTAATGCCGTAGACCCCAGCATTTAGAAGTCTTTATGCCAGCTATGCCTCACTGTATTTGCTTGTGGTTTAAGGTTGTGAAACCCAAGTCTAGCCACCCTTTTTTCCCTATGGGCCACTACTTATTCTAGATATCAGTTGGTATTCCCGAAGTGGCATATCTGTTGACTATTTGTGTGTATATATATTTCATAGAAATGCAGGCACAGTGAGACAGATGCTGGAGTCCAAAAGAAATGTAAGCGAGAGTGCACCACCATCCTTTCAAACTCCTGTGAATACAGGTAACTTTTTTTTTAAATAAAAAAAATACATTTTCTTAGGAATTAAAGGCTTTGGTTCTCTTTTCTTACATTCTTTTGAGGTTGAAATGGATTAAAAAATTGGGCACATTGATCTGAGTACAAAAATTTTGTTAAAAATTCAGGATCAAATTGGGCATGGTGGCACATGCCTATGGTCCCAGCTACTTGGGAGGCTGAGGAGGATCACCCAAACCCAGGAGTTTGAGTCAACTTGGGCAACATAGTGAAATCTACTCAGTCTCTTAAAACAAAAAAATTTAGGATCCTAGATAAGTATACATGAAATACAAGTATAGATATTCAAATCTCTACTATAGTAGTTTGCAAACTTTCTGGTCTCTTGATCCTTTTACAATTAGAAAAAATTATTAAGAACCCTAGAGCTTTTATTTATGTGGGTTATATCAATTGATATTTATTAGTTGAAATGAAGTAGAAATTAAACAGAAATTAAAACATATTTTTAAAATGTTTATTCATTTAAAATAATGGTATACCAGGTGTGGTGGCTTGTGCCTGTAATCCCAGCACTTTGGGAGATGAGGTGGGTGGATCACTTGAGGTCGAGTTCGAGATCATCCTGGCCAACATAGTGAAACCCCATCTATACCAAAATACAAAAATTAGCTAGGCATGGTGGCTGGTGCCTGTAATCTCAGCTACTCAGGAGGCTGAGACAGGAGAATCACTGGAACCTGGGAGGTGGAGGTTGAAGTTAGCCGAGATCATGCCACTGCACTCCAGCCTAGGGGACAGAGCAAGACTTCCTCTAAAAAATAACAATAATAATAATAAAAATAAAGTAATAGTAAACCCATAATGTGTAACAGAAACTTTAAAAAATGAAACTAAATATATTTTCCAAATTTAAAAATAGCAGCACAAAGAGCATTATTCTCTTACATTTTTTACAAATCTCTTTTATACTTTAAGATGTCAAGATAACTAAAGATAGCTGTATATTCATATCTATATCTGCTTTTGGTCTGTTTTAAAATGTTGATTTGGCTGAAGCATGTGAAGGAAATCTAGTCTTATACAAATATGTAGATGGAAAAGGACTAGCCCTTACAGATAATTGTGGATATTTTTCTTTGATATTATCAAGTAGTAGTTTATTTAAGGTTAATTGTGAAGTGTAATCTGAAATCACACCAAATAAATGTTCTTACTCTTCCATTAAAATCCATTTGTTGAAAAAGTGTGGTGGCTCACGCCTATAATCCCAGCACATTGGGAGGCCCAAGGCAGGTGGATTGCTTGAACTCAGGAGATCAAGGTCAGCCAGGGCAACATGGTGAAACTCTATCTCTACAAAAAATACAAAAGTGGCCAGATATGGTGGTACACACCTGTGGTCCCAGCTACTTGGGAGGCTGAGGCAGAAAGATGACGACAGCCCTGGAGGTGGAGGGTGCTGTGAGCCGAGATTGTGCCATTGTACTCTATCCTGAGCGATAGAGGCAAACCTTGTTTTAAATCTATTCATCTATCTTGTACTTGGATGGAATTTTACTAATATCATCCATTGGTCATTTGAAAACTATTCATTAAGTTATGCAAATCTTCCAAATGTTGACACATTTTATTAATAAATATTATTTTTAAAAATTACATTTACTGATTTTACTGTCAGTTCTACTCAGAGAAGTATTTTAAGGATTTAGAGAGCTTCATCCTTTCAGTGACAGATACAAGTTTTTTCAAATGTTCTTAGTTTTATTTTAAAATTCAAATGTTGTTATTGCTGATAAATACAGTTGGGCTTTTTTCTTTGAAGTGACTGCCTTACCTAGTTTATTTTTAAGAAAAGATCTTAAAAATACCCACATGTGAATCATCAGTGTGCGTATAGATCATTCTTTCAAGTAAAAATAGTCTTTGATGGAAAAGACTGCCGGTTACAAGCATTTTTCCTTGAGTTAGCCATTTTACTTTGGCATGCAGTAGTTGTTTTATATGTATACCTATTTCTTCACATGGAATATTAAGAAAAGAACCCCTATTCAAAGGTCGAGATATAAAGTTAATAGTTTTTACTGTTGATCATGGGGATTCTTAAGTAAAACTGACTTTGTTTTTTACTGTAAGCATGTGATGATAAAGAATGCAGCGAATTTGGTCCCATTAAACTACCTTGATTTTTGTACTAAAGCATCAGAAGTGTTACTCACCGTTGCTTTTGCTCCATTGGTGCAAATGTCTGCTCATTGAAAAAGGCAAATAATGTCTCATTATGAAAACAGTTTTGACATTGCAAACTCCCTGAAAGGGTCTCAGAAAACCGCAGGCATCCCCCTGGACTACACTTGAGAATTGCTGCTCTAGTGTACCTGATTGGAAAGACTATAAATCAGTGAGAAAGAAGTTTGATCATGTATTTTAAACCTATTCCAATGAGAATAAGCACAAGTAGTTGAAAATACCTATAAAACTGTAGTGACCAGCATTTGTATTTTCTCTGTTCTTCTGTATAAGCTTTCTCATTTCTTCTTAATTCATCTGTCATCTTCACTCAGTGCTATTTTTCGTATCATACAATGTCAGTAGGGTGTCAATAGAGGAAACTGCCCCTCAGTAGGGGAAGATAATTCCTCTCCCTGGGAATTCGGTCAAACTTGATCCAAAGATGCAGACATGGTTCAAATGATAAAATATGATGACTAAATTTACCTATTATTAATTAATGGTCATGACTCTTTTTAGATTTATTATTTGAGTTTATATATTACTTGTGTATAAGGCATTTATAATGTTTTTAATGTAGTTTCAAAAATATGCATTTTTACCTACATTTTAGTATTTTTTATTTGTTTACTAGTTAGGTGCTCTAAAGTGATTATAGTAATTTTCAGAGATTGTTTTGATACTCAGCAGTCTTGCGTATTAATCATCCATCATGTGCTATTTTTGTAATATGCTAAACCTACATGTAAAATCCTTCCAAGAATTTAATTCTAAGTTAGATTTCAGAATTTAAATCTGGAAAAAACAAATTTTCATGATGAAAGACTTTACAGTACCTAATGCAATGTATTTAATTTGTATCTGTCATATTTTCTTAGCTGATAAATTAATATAACCATTTAAACTGAGACTTCTGTTTTCTTTCTATAGTATCTTCAACCAATCTTGTCACTCCTCCAACAGTTGTCAGTAGTCAACCTAAGTTGCAGACTCCGGTAACTTCGGGTTCCCTGACAGCAACATCAGTTCTTCCTGCACCCAATACAGCTGCTGTAGTTGCTACTACTCAGGTGCCTAGTGGAAATCCCCAACCTACAATCTCTTTACAATCGTTGCCAGTGATTTTGCATGTACCTGTTGCAGTATCCTCCCAGCCTCAGCTTCTACAGAGCCATCCAGGGACTTTGGTGACTAATCAACCATCTGGCAACGTAGAATTCATTTCTGTGCAAAGCCCACCTACAGTGAGTGGTCTTACCAAAAATCCAGTATCCTTGCCATCCTTGCCAAATCCCACTAAACCAAACAACGTTCCTTCTGTGCCCAGTCCTAGTATTCAAAGGAACCCTACTGCCAGTGCTGCACCATTGGGAACAACACTTGCTGTGCAGGCTGTTCCAACAGCGCACTCTATTGTACAAGCCACAAGGACTTCTTTACCCACAGTGGGCCCGTCAGGACTCTATAGTCCATCAAATAATCGAGGTCCTATACAGATGAAAATTCCAATTTCTGCTTTTAGTACTTCATCTCCTGCAGAACAGAACAGCACTACTACCGCAAGAATTGGTAAGTCATCATGTAGGTTTAATACTAGAAATGCAAGCATGTTAATAGCCTTGTAACGATTGACCTTTTTTTTTCTAAGTGGCTGGCAATGTTGAAAGAACAAAGTAAACAGAATTTTCTTCATTATTTTTAGTAATTTTTTAGATACCTGAGAGAAATTATGTTGCTAAAATGGGGCTTGAGAAAGGGGTTTTGTTTTTTATTTGGAAGTTAGCATCTGTGTTTTATCTTTTAGTAATTTTCCTAACTGGTGAATTTTTAATTTATGGCTTTGTAGCAAGCGTTAAGAGTTACTTTTTTGATACATTTTCTAGCAATATCTGTCTAAAACAAATACATTTTAAAGTATCAAATTTACATAATATGTGCTTTTAAGAAAAAAATAAAGGCACATTTATGTTCCTTGCCCATTTGGAAAATCCTTTGTGCATTCATTCATCTCTTCCAAATTTGTACAACTTAAAAATAGGTTTCTCTCTCACATTTACTATAAAATGTTTGAGTCCTTTTTGTTTTATCTTTTCTGTGTTTTCCCATATGATATACTATATGATTGTTTGTATTTGACTTAGAAATATTGCAAAAAGGAGAACTTGATTATACCTGTTTAAAATCTGCCAAACTCTGTGTCTTCATAGTTCCTAGAAAGAGTTTGTTTTGTATGCATTCTTGAACTTGCTTATTCTTCATTTCTGACTTACTTATCTGCACTACTTTTGGAAAAGCAGGCAAGTGTAGGCATCATGTGTATAGTAAAATTGCTATAGTGTCTTTCTTACTGATGTCATAAGTGACCATGTAATATAATATAGGAAACAAATTCTAAAGTGCAAAATTACTTTTGTAAGTGAGATGTACAAGCCTTAGTTTTCATTTGTCATAAAGCCATTACTAGTGCATTTACTCCCTAAGTGTTTTCTCATATAAAACAGTGATGGTATTTCACAGACTTGTAAAGTAAGTAAATGAGTGACAGATCAAAATTAATATTGGATTGAAGCTGGATATCACTCTCATATCATTATCATATTTATAAGAATAAACTAATGTTTTATATGAAAGTCCAATTATTTATAGTATTTACAATTTAAATGTTTGCATAGTATAGGGACAAATGTTTGTTAGTATTATCTGCTACCACATTATTTTTTGGACATTCTTACATGTTTACAACACTAAAAGAGATGCTTGCTTTTAACTGAGGTCAGTGGACATACAAGATTTTTGGGTGGTGCTTCATTTTCCTGTAATTTCTTTTTCTTTTAGTTCTTAGTATTTTTTAATGTTAGATGATTTAGTAATGGACATTGTTTTGTGTGATTTTGGTTTTTCCTCCTTATGACGTTTTTAGGCAAAGTTGACATTGTTTTAAATTCATGGTCATGAAAGGAGATAAATTGTTAAATACGGAGCTTTTCCTGAAAAACCATGGCTTGAAAAGAAATAAAGAGTATTTTGTTTAATGTTATGCTCATACTCCAAACACTTCTACAAGTGTCAGAATTATAATTTTATTGTTCCATTCTTAAATTTTTTATGGAAAGGATATATTCCCCAAATTATCTAGTTGATGTACACTACCAGTAATGCATGTCAGTCTGTTTAGTTGACTATTCTGAGTTTTTTGTATATAAAAGTAAGTTTTTACAATCATTAATTGGTATAGCATTCTGAGATAATATACAATTATTTCTTTCTTTTTTTTTTTTTTTGAGACGGAGTTTCGCTTTTGTTATCCAGGCTGGAGTGCAATGGCGCGATCTCGGCTCACCGCAACCTCCACCTCCTGGGTTCAGGCAATTCTCCTGCCTCAGCCTCCTAAGGAGCTGGGATTACAGGCACGTGCCACCATGCCCAGCTAGTTTTTTGTATTTTTAGTAGAGACAGGGTTTCACCATGTTGACCAGGATGGTCTCGATCTTTCGACCTCGTGATCCACCCGCCTCAGCCTCCCAAAGTGCTGGGATTACAGGCTTGAGCCACCGCGCCCGGCCTAATATACAATTATTTCTAAACATAAAATTGTATATTTTAACATGTACATTTAACACATTTACATATTTTTAATATATAATTATATTAAGATCTTCAAGTTCCATTTAGAATGCTTAACTACATTTGATAATGAATAAATGTGAATGACAAGCTTTTCTTTTTCATAATGTTAACTAAAATGAGATCTTATGAGAACATACGTTCTTTGACCATGCATAATTTCAACAGTACCATAAATGACATTAAAGTAGGCCTTTGGCTGTTTAGGCTTCCCAAAACCTGAACAGAAGCCAAACTTCAGTACATCTCTACTACATTTAGTAGTTTGTGACAAATTAATTAGGTTATATAATTAAGATTTTCTAAGCTCTATACTTTTGTAGGTATTATATTTACTTAATAAGAACATATGCTATATGTTCATGCATTTGTATCTTCTTATAGTTTCGTGTATCTTTATGGATTTTAAATGTAAATGCCCTCCTAAGGGCTTGGAAATTTAAAGCTCAAATTATAACTAATTTTTTTCATTCATAAAGAATGCCTGTATTAAGTTCTATAGATAAACAAATGTATAAAATTTGTCCCTATGATCTCACCAACTTACAGTCAAATAGGGAATGTGTTCATTAAATAACTAATTATAAATGTGATGAGAGTTAGGATTTGCAGGTTTTTCTGAGGACAAAATTGAAAATGAGAAATCTGGAAAGGGTATGAAGTAATGAATGGCAGAATGGGGGAAATAGTGTTAAAAGAGTTTTTGCAGGGGGTGATGTGACGTTCATGAACCCCGGTTTCAGTATGGAGAATGGTTTGGAAGGGATAAGAATATGTTAGGAAGACCAGTTAGGAGGCTGGAGGCTCTTATAGTGTACAAGATGAAAGATGGTGGTATCAAAAAGATTTAAAAGTTATTCAAGAGGTAGCATTGGCAGTACTTGGTAATTTATTAATAAAAGTTTAGATGTGTAGAAGAGATGGAGAACTCAAAGATGACTCAGATTTCTAAGACATTGCTAAATGCTGTTCCATTTACTAAACTAGACATTAAAGAAAGAACAGATTTGGAGGAGAGCTATATACAATCCATATACAATGTATACTCTCAAATGTCATTAAGCATCTTGATCTAAGACTATTAGAACACTAGAGTTTGCTGGGCATGGTGGCTTATGCCTGTATTCCCAGCACTTTGGGAGGCTGAGGCAGGAGGATGGCTTGAGCTCAGGAGCTTGAGACAAGTCTTGCAATATGGTGAGACCCCCCCATCTGTACACAAAGTAAAAAATTAGAAATGTGCCTGCAGTCTTAGCTATTCAGAGGCTGAAGCAGGAGGATTGCTTGAACCCAGGAAGTCAAGACTACAGTGAGCCATGGTCATGCCACTGTACTCCAACCTGAGCAACAGAGGAAGTCCCTGGAGAGGGGGAGAGAGAGAGAGAGAGAGAGAGAGAGAGAGAGAGAGAGAGAGAGAGAGAGAGGAGAGGGAGAGAGCGAGTGCACACATGTCAACCATGTCTAAAACAGATGCTCATTTGTAATAAATAAGATAATTTGAATATATTTTAAAATAAATATTAATATATTCTTCTTACAAAAAGAAAATTATTCGGACAAGGTAGGGAGAAATCAAAGGCATCCTTTTATCTTCTGTACCCTGGAATACATCTTTTAACAGGTGCATACTTACCAACTTAATTTTTATAGACATACAGATTTATCTGTGTACATATGGAAATACATAGGTAGTTTAATCTCCTGTATTTTTTAAAACATAAATTGTTTACTCTGTATGCCTTCTGAAGATTTGCAAATGAAAGAAATGCCACGGTTTGACCAAGAGGGTTTTGTCTCCAGAAAGAAAGGATGGGCTGTTTCAACATTTAAAAAATACAGGAAAAACGTAAATAATCTCAATAGGTGCAAAAGACCTTTGATAAAATTAATACATTCGCTCTTTTCTTCCCATTAGAAATTGGGGCAAAACATACTTGGTTTGTTTTCTGTGCTGTTCTGGAAGTAACATTATTTTTTAACTGCAAACTCAGTACAAGTTAATTGAAAAATGAACAAAGAAAGAAAAATCACCGATGATTGAACTTACTGAGAAACATGCATGTGTATTTTCTTGGATTTACTACATGTGTTTCTACTGAATTTATTGCAAACAGTTTTTACATATTAAATTTTTTTCTCAAAAGGGACATAGTATGGAAGAATTATATTTTAACTATTTCCTCATGTTAGAACATTTAAATTATGTATATCTTAAATTATTTTAATGAGATATTGCTTAGAGTTAAAATTGCGGGGGCACTAGAAAGTTTTTTATCTGTATTGTGAATTTCCGCTTCTGAAAGGTACTATAGCAGTGATCTGTGAGTTTGAGCTTTTATTTACATATGTGACATGTTGACAGAAAAATAGTTGGAGAAAACTATGTGAATTTTTGTATATAAAGCAGCCTAGCTTTTTACATTTTGTAGATGTTTAAAAAAAATTTTTTTTTAACTTTTCAGAAAACCAGACAAACAAAACAATAGATGTTTCTGTTAATAAGAAAGCAGCTGATAGCACATCACAGGTAAGATTTTTCCTTCTTCTTCAAAGTAAAATCCTAATTATTGCCCACAGGAAAATGAATTTTTATCATTCTTTGATTGAATGAAAGTTGTTCTATGTCTGTTTTTTATAACTGTCCAAAAATTGTCTCACAGGTTTTCTATAATGTTTGACAAGAATTGAAGTTTTTTTGTTTTGCCTTGTTTTATTTTTGCATAGCAGTTTTTAGAGGTAATAATTAGTTTATTCTATTAACTGACTGACTGGATTAATACAGTTGGCCTTTTACACTGTAAAGATTATCTGCAAAAAGAAAACGCATGTCATTTAATCCAGGTGCATCTTTTTAAAGAGTATCTCACTGGTTTACCCTCACTTATGCCACCCCCTGCCCCTACCAACATTTTTATTTCTTCAGAGGTAATCAGAGGTATCTTTTGAGGAAGAGTTTTTTGTCTGTCTGGTAGTTTATTAGCACTTTGCTACTCTTTGTACTTTTTCATGTTAAATTTTAACCACCCAGTAATAGAGTAACGACTTCTTTCCTGTATTAACAGTGTTCTTCCTTGTTCTTTGTTACTTTAGGTATAATCAATTTATAGTGAAGTAATTAGGTTGTTGATAGTGTTATTTTCTTCACTTTCTTTGAATCACTTCAAGGAGTTTGTAATTATTCCTAGCAGAACAAAAATCTCAAGCATGTCAAACATGAAAAAATGACAATTTTAAAACAAGGGCATCATTTGATCTTAAAATACGAGCATTTTCTTTAAAAATGATGGATTTTGACCAACCTAGATATATGTCATAGTTTATAGATCAAATAAAAGCTATTAAAAATATCTTACTTCTTACAGATGTTAGCAGTCTTTGTGTGCAGTATTAAAAATTAAAGTTGTGATTGTTTCTGAGCATGTCTTGTGGATTATAACTATGTTTTCAATTAAAATTATAAGATTGAGATACTTTCTAGAAGACATGTAGTATAGAAAATGTTGATATATTCAGTGATACTTAAATGACATTTATAGGAAGTCCACTTGTACTTTATGAACTTAAAGAATTTATGAACATCTCTACTCAGTGAGTTTTTTTTTTTTAAAACAAGTAATGTTTTCAGGGAAAGGAAAATGGACATTATAATGGCTGCCTTTTGTCATTTTATAAATGGTGGTTCTTCTAGAGCTGTGCTATCTAATACGATAGCCACTAGTCACATGTAGCTACTTAAAAATTCAGTTCCCCAGTCACAATAACCCCATTTCAAGGTTCAGTAGCTACAAATGGCTAGTGGCTAGCGTATTAGACCACACAGATACAGACTGATTTCATCATTGCAAAAAGTTGTATTGAATTATACTGTCTATAGAGTATTTTGCTGAAATAGAGTGTATGTAGCCGAGCATGGTGTCTCACACCTGTAATTCTAGCACTTTGGGAGGCTGAGTGGGGGCGGATCTTCTGAGGTGAGGAGTTCAAGATCAGCCTGGCCAACATAGGGGAAACCCATCTCTACTAAAAATACAAAAATTAGCTGGGTGTGGTAGCAGGCCCCTATAATTCCAGCTACTTGAGAGGCTCAGGCAGGAGAATTGCTTGAACCTAGTGGGGCAGTGGTTGCAGTGTGCCGAGATTGCACCACTTCACTCCGGCCTGGGCAAAACAGCAAAACCCCATCTCAAATATATATATATACATATATGTATATGTATATATATATACATATACATATATGTATATATATACACATATATATGTATATATATATGTAAATATGTAACATCATAAATACATAAGTGAAATTAAAATGGATATAATATAAACAACACTTGAGGTGGGGTGTGGTGGCTCACATCTATAATCCCAGCACTTTGGGAAGCCAAGATAGGAGAATCACTTGAGCCCAGGAGTTTGAAACCACCCTAGACTACAAAGTGAGACCCCGTTTCTATAGAAAAGAAGAAACTTAAAAAAAAAAAAAGCACCACCACCACTTGAAACAGGAATTGACTTCATCAGAAAGCAAAGTGTGGGGTTGGTCATGTTGGGGTCACCACCTGAGACGTTGATCACCACCTGCAGGATTCTGTCCGGCAAACCCTGACTCTGAGGCAGATGAATAAATACACTGAACACAGAAAGAACAGTGAATGAGTGGGCTAGGGAGGTTGTCAGCTGCTCTCAGAGGGCCATTGCAGCTATCCGACCCTTGCTACATGTTCTTCTCACATTTATTCAGTATAGATTTAATGACAGAGGATCTAAGTCAACACACTTGTGGATAATTAACATGGTTAAAAGAGTGGTTTTACAAATGATAAAAGCTTTGATTCCCAGGGGGCCCAGAACAAACACCATTAACCTCCCCCTGAGAAGGCCAAGGCCATCTGCACAAAGTTTACATGAGTAAACAAGTAGTTAGAGTAGAGATAAAGGAATGTGGGGTTAACAGACTTAACAGGGGAAGCTTCTGTTATCCCTAATCTTCACCCTGTGACCTAATGCTTTAAGGTAAGGACCAGCTGCCTTCAGTCTGTTCCATGATTACAAGTTAATGAAAACCTTTCGGCCTTCCAAAAGGTTTGAGATTATAATCTTACAATTTTCCCTAATATTTCCCTTAATATTTTGCCAACCACCCTGAGTGAATCCCAGCAGCAAAGTGATACTACAACTTAATATTAAGCTCTCAATACATATTTTATTTGGCTTAGAGGAAGAGGAATTTAATATCCTAGTATAAAAAACACATACAAGCAGTTTGATTGGCTAGCCTGCCTTATCAAAAATAACAAACTTTCAGCTTTGAATCAGTGTCAATTATCGATGTGAATAATAAATATAATTAAAGGAGAGTTTTATTATGTAATAAGCCATAATGGAAGTATATATGTGCATTCAGTTATGAAGTTATGCTTGCCAGCTACAGTTTTTGAAACAAATATCATTTTTGTCATTGTGATAAAAACCTTTATTAATGTTATACTGTTGATTAATAAATTCTTATTTGCTTTTTACCTTAATGTGCAACTTTCTAGCAGATAGAAACTAGTGTGAAAAAGGTAGCCTGTGATTCTTTTAATTGTCATATTGTAAATATAATTGGCTAACTTCTTTTTTCAATGCCAAGCCTACTTAGTTGCACTTCTTAACACTTTAAGGCTATTTAGATCAGAAGAAATCTGAATGTCTAAGGCCAGGCACACTGTCTCACCCCTGTAATTCCAGCACTTTGGGAGGCTGAGGCAGGCAGATCACTTGAGGTCAGGAGTTTGAGACCAGCCTGGCCAACATGGTGAAGCTCTGTCTCTACGGAAAATATAAAAATTAACTGGGTGTGGTGGTTTACACTTGTAATCCCAGCTACTTGGGAGGCTGAGGTGGGAGGATCACTTCAACCTTGGAGGAGGTGATTGCAGTGAGTCATGATGATATCACCACTGTATTCCAGCCTGGGTGACAGAGTGAGATTCTGTCTCAAAAAAAGAAAAGAAAAGAAACTTGGATGTCTAGTGTGGAAATGCTTGTTCAGCTGTTAGTTAATTAGCAAATGATGAAATCTGTAAAATATTCTATTTCTGTAGTTGTTAAATGAAGATTTATCTAATATCCCCAAATAAGTATTTATTAACATATTACATATAATTTATTATTGTGTTTTGTTACTATGTATCATTTTATATATTATTGTTTTATATAGTGAAAAACAAATTTATTCAAATTATCAACATATATTACAAAATAGTGTTGCTATCTGTAATTGATGTTTTGAGGGACACAGGATCACCTTTAACTTGCTGATTTGCTAGAAGGATTTCATAAGACTCAGTAGCACGCTATACTACTATTATGGTTTGTCACAGCAAAAGGTGTAGAGCAAGAGCAACAGGAAAAAAAAAATGTGCAGAAAGATCAGGCAAAGACTTCCAAGTCTTCTGTCTGGGATTGCACAGGATTTGTTTTTTTCTCTGGCTTATTAAACTCAGAGACATGTGCCAAGAGTCTTTTCCCAGAGAAGCCTGATTGAATTTTAGGGTCTGAGGTTTTTTGGAGGTCTGATCACATAATGACATTTTTCTACTTAACTGGCCATGGCACTGGAAACTCAGGATCCCAACAGTGAAACCCAAGTGTGCATCATCAGTCTTCATATTTATGCAAAACAGTCCTGATGAACCAGTATAGCACAGTTCACTGTTCAGAGTGTATATAAGAGAATTAATTGTTAACATGACCTTCCAAGGGCAACATTCCTGATAACTAACCAAGTCTCAGTTACGGTTCCAACTTTGCTTGGAGAGATGTGCAAGGAATGAACAACCAGCTCATCTATGTTAACTCTTTCTTCACATTTGCTGAAGTGTGTTTTCCAGAATATTACTGTTTCATTACAAAAAGGCTACAAAGCCAGTATCTTAGCTCTCTTAAAATTTTCTTAGTGTTTGCTTATTCAGATTGGTCATTTTGGGAAATAACACGTGATTAGCTAAGTTTTTAATAAAATACATTTGTAGTGTTAACTATTTGATACAATTTTTTTTTTTTTGAGACGGAGTTTCACTCTTGTTACCCAGGCTGGAGTGCAATGGCACAATCTCGGCTCACCGCAACCTCTGCCTCCTGGGTTCAGGCAATTCTCCTGCCTCAGCCTCCTGAGTAGCTGGGATTATAGGCACGCGCCACCATGCCCAGCTAATTTTTTGTATTTTTAGTAGAGACGGGGTTTCACCATGTTGACCAGGTTGGTCTCGATCTCTCGACCTTGTGATCCACCCGCCTCGGCCTCCCAAAGTGCTGGGATTACAGGCTTGAGCCACCGCGCCCGGCGATACAATTTTTTTAATGATTTCAAACTGAAGTCTTCAGTAATATGTGTAAACACAGATAGAAATGTGTCTCTGATTAGATAAGATTTCAGATATAATGTTTTCTCAGAAAAAAATGTAAAGATACATACATGTGTGTGTGTCCGTTTCCACCTAGTGGCATAGAAATATTAAGGTCAGGGGAAGGGTAGGGAAAAAAAAAAGAAATAATAAGGTCTACAGTCAGACAATCTGTAGCCAGTTACTTAATAGTGGTGCTTTGACGAGTTAGTGGGCACCTTAGATTTTTCAGCTATAAAATAGAGCTAGTACTTACCATGTAGAAATAATGCAAAGAGTAAATGTGTTAATGCATGTAAAGCATTTAGCACAGAGACTGATAGGAGTAATGTTAGCTATTATAATTATTTTTAAAATGTATTTAATAGTTACTGAAATATTTACCCATTTTGTTCGTCAAAAAAGAGTCTATTCAGGAAACTACTCATAGTGTATGATAATAGATAAATTGTATCTACCAGCTTATGATCAATAAAAATCATAATTTATCACTAAATCATTACTTGTAGATCTTGACCTATATAATAAGCATTTAACGATATACATTTTCCTCTGAGTACTGCTTTGGCTACATTCCATAAATTGTCATGTGTTGCATTTTTATTTCATGTAGTTCTTATTTCTTTTTGGGTCCTGGGTTAGTTAGTAATTTGTTTAATTTCATAACATTTGGGGATTTTGCAAATTTTTTATTATTGATTTTTTTCATTTAATGCTATTGGGTTTAGAAAATATCCTCTGTATGACTTTGTTACATTTATATAAATTAGATGTGTGTTATAAAGCACCATATATGGTATATATCTTAGTAAATGTATCACTGCACTTGAAAAGAGTATGTATTCTACTGTTGGGTGTAATGTTTTATAAATGTCAATATAGCATGGTCGATAGTGTAATTTGGATGATTTGTTTACTAATTATTGCCTTTTGCTGTAGTGGTTTTATCTATTACTAAGAGTGATATGATTGTGAATCTATTTTTTTCCTTTAATTTGGCAGTCTTGCTTTGTAGGTTTTTGACACTGTATTACATGTTTTTTTAAATAATGTATAATTTGCAATCTTGTCATACTTTTATCATTATAAAGGTTCCCTCTTAGTCTCTCTTTCTGATATTAACATAGAGCAGCATTTTTATGCTTATTGTTGCATGTTACTTTTTTTAGCTTTTTAGTTTCATTCTGTGTTTTTGTATTTAAAGTGAATCTGTAAGAGAAAAAAACATCACATTTCTTGATTCTTTGTGTGTTATCTCATCTGATAATCTCTACATTTTGATAGGAGTTTTTAGACCATTTATAGTTAATATAAGTATTCATAGGATTGTGCTTAGGTCTGCTATTTTGCTATTTTCTGTTGGTTTCATCTGTTTTCTTTTGTTGGTTTCTGTGCCTTTTTTCCTGCTTTATTTTGTATCAGTTGTTTTTTTTTTTAAACATTCTGTCTTAATTCCTCTGTTAGCTTTCTAGGTTGCTGTCTCTCTCTGTGTTTGTGTGTTTTTGTGTGTTTCAGGGATTGTTCTAGAGCAGGCATCCCCAAACTATGGCCCGTGGGCCACATGCAGCCCCCTGAGGCCATTTATCCGGCCCCCCACCGCACTTCAGGAAAGGGCACCTTTTTCATTGGTGGTCAGTGAGAGGAGCACAGTATGTGGCGGCCCTCCAATGGTATGAGGGACAGTGAACTGGCCCCCTGTGTAAAAAGTTTGGGGACACCTGTTCTAGAGTTTACAGTATGTATCTGAATCTTAATTATATAACCTTGCAATTGTATGTGTACATTTACCTCCTTAATGCAGTTGCTTTCTTTAAATATCATGTTCATGTTTTCACATGTATTATGGTCTTATTTGCACATATATGAAATTATTTTTAATTCACATGTTGTAGATATCTAAATATATATATATTTTTAATTGTTGCCTTATGGAATTTTAAAGAAATTAAGAACAGAAAAGGAATATAATTTAATATTTGTACTTATGTTTGCCTTTTCTGGTCCCCTTTTTCCTGTGATCCAAGTTGGTATTTCCTTTCAAACTGAAGTATTTCCTTATGCTCATCTGTTCAATGTAGATCTGCTAGTAATGCTTTCTCTTTGTTTTTTAATATCTAAAAATGTACGTTTGTGTCTTTTGTCTCCTTTTCTCAAGGAGAGCTTCATTGGGTATAGAATTCTTAGTTTAAAGGTTTTTTTTGTTTGTTTGTTTTTTAATCAGTACTTTGGATATATTGTTCCAGTGTCTTTTTGCTTCCATAGTTTCTAACTGGTAGTTAGCAGTTACTCTTTACTCCCATGTAACATGTAATTTTCTCTGTTTACTTTCAAAATGTTTCATTATTGGTTTTCAATATTTTTACTATGATGTGTATACTTATGGACTTCTTAGTGTTTCTTCTGCTTGAGTTTCATTAAACCTCTTGGATTGTAAGTAAATGTTTTTTTACCAAATGTGGGAAGTTTTGGTTATTACTCAATTCTTTTTTAGCTCTTTGTTTCTTCTCATTTAGGATTTTGCTGAACTGTTTTTTATTGCACAAATTTCAGGTGTTTTTTATATTTTCTTCTGTTTTGCTTTCTGCCCTATGGCCTAGAAAATTTATATTGATCTAGCATCAATTTCATTTGAGTTTTTCCTGCCCCAGGCAATCTGCTTTTATGCTTACATAATTTTTATTTTAGTAATTATTTTTTCAGCTCTATTATTTATATTTTTTTCAGTTTCTTTTTCTCTTGCGAAATTTCCTGTTTGTACATTCGTTGTTATTTAATTATTTGAACTTTTTTTTTTTTTTTGAGTTGGAGTCTCGCTCTGTCATCTAGGCTGGAGTGCAGTGGTATAATCTCAGCTTATTGCAGCTTCCACTTTTCTGGGTTCAAGTGATTCTGCTTCTCAGCTTCCCATGTACCTGGGACTACAGGTGCCTGCTACCATGCCCAGCTAATTTTTGTGATTTTAGTAGAGACGGGATTTCACTGTGTTGGCCAAGCTAATCTCGAACTCGCACCCTTGTGATCCACCTGCCTCGGTCTCCCAAAGTGCCAGAAATACAGACTTGAGCCAATGTGCCTGGCCTCGAACATATTTTTAATAGCTGCTTGCAAGTCTTTTATCTCCTGAATGTAATATCTGGTTCTGCTTAGAGTCAGTTTGTATTATTTTTCATCCTAAGTTAGTTTCACTTTTGAAAACTGGACCTTAAAGGTAATACGTTGTGGTGAATAATTATTTTACATTCATGGATGTTTTTTGGGATTTTTTAGTTTGGGATTTTATAGATTTTTGGTGTTTGTAAATAACCCATTTTCTGTGAAATCATTATTATAGAAAGATGTATAAGAATTAGAATTCCGGGCCGGGTGCGGTGGCTCAAGCCTGTAATTCCAGCACTTTGGGAGGCTGAGGCGGGTGGATCACGAGGTCAAGAGATTGAGACCATCCTGGTCAACATGGTGAAACCCCGTCTCTACTAAAAATACAAAAAATAGCTGGGCATGGTGGTGCGTGTCTGTAATCCCAGCTACTCAGGAGGCTGAGGCAGGAGAATTGCCTGAACCCAGGAGGCGGAGGTTGCGGTGAGCCAAGATTGCGCCATTGCACTCCAGCCTGGGTAACAAGAGCGAAACTCTGTCTCCAAAAAAAAAAAAAAAAAGAATTAGAATTCCATTATTGTCTTAGGATTGGGCCTGGATATTCTAAAATCAAGGAATTATTTTCTTTAATTTATCAACTTGAGTTTTGCAGATGAAAGCCTTTATCATTTGGAATTGACTTCAGTATATCAAAGTAAATCGTGATTATTATTTATTAAGCAGTTGCTATGTATCATATATTATGTTAAGCCCTTATATGCACATTTGGATTAATCCTCACAATAGCCTCAATATTCAGATATTGGAGCTTGCGATAAGTACCTATCTGAATCAGATAGCTAATAAGTGAGAACTATAAGACACACTCAACCTTTCTGACTTCGAAGTTCTGCCTCTTTAGATCTGTATTGCCTTACCTTCCTTGTTGGTTGCTATCATGTGATTTTTAAAGGTTTTTCTTTTAATCCTAATATTTCTAATGATTTTTGGATGATGGGTTGACTGGTCAACTTGGATGTACAGTTAAGTAGCATAGTGTACTGTATCATTTCATACCATACCGTACTGTTTTTTAAAGCAAAAACTTTAGATTATTTTCTGTAACTCAATTCTAGCTTTAAAGATTGCCTTTGGTGTTTTCATGGATTAATATTGATAATTCAGAGTAGTATTGATCAACATTTTAAATGTCACAAAATGAAAAATGTGTTGAATCACTTTATTTGCTGTAGGCAACAGCTTAATTTTTTAAATAAAACTTCTTGAATTTCTTTTGAAAATTGTATTTCATATGGTAGATGTTTAACTCATGAGTATCCTGGGTCATTTGTCTGACAAACTCTGTTTATTCAGGTACAGCCTTTTAGGGGTCCAGATTGAACCAGGTTACTCATTAGTCTCATTTTACCTCACTTACCATTTCATTTTTTAACATGTATATCTGCCAGAGTTTTCTTTGCAAAATGTAGAAGTTTTGTTTTTCAGAGCGGAAAAGCCACTGGCAGTGATTCAAGTGGTGTCATTGATCTCACAATGGATGATGAAGAGAGTGGAGCTTCACAAGGTACTTCAGTAGTAATTGTACAAGGAATGCTTTGATACCACTTTTTTTTGGTCTTAATACAGTACAATATTCTGTGAAGACAGATGTTTACAGCATTATGCTTGGTTTATTTTTGTTTTTTTCAGAATGGAAGGTTTTCAGATTAGAATTTTAAAATAAGGCCAGATACAGTGGCTCATAACTATACTCTCAGTACTTTGGGAAGCAAAGGCAGGAGGATTGAGGTAAGAGGCCAGGAGTTTCAGAGCAGCCTGGGCAATGCAATGAAACTCCGACTCTACAAACAATTTAAAAATTAGCTGGGTGTATTTGTGGTCCCAGCTACATGGGAAGCTGAGGCAGGAGGATAGCTTGAGCCTGGGAGGTTGAGGCTGCTGCGACCTGTGTTTTTACCACTGCATTCCAGCCTGGGTAACAGAATGCGGCCCTGTCTCAAAAAAAATAAAAATATTAATAAAATAGAAATCAAATCTTAAATGAGTGTACAATCTGAAGAGAAAAATAGCAATTAAGAGATTGTAATTTGTGGAGTACCTATGTTTTTGTATCTGTTATTTTACTTGAACCTTGCAAAAATGCTGTAATACTCATTTTAGACTTGAGGAAACTTAGCCTTTCTAAGTGTCAGACTCAGTAAGGGTCTTGGGAGTCAAATCCAACTCTTCTGTCTCTACATTAAAGGTTCTTTTTCTCTCTGTTTATGTTTCAGTGTAGATACTGTATTTAAGTGTATATACATTTAATTTTGGTCATTTGAATAAAATTCTTTAACATTATATAAATAAACGTAGTAATTTTAGAAAGCATTCACATTCAAAATAATATTCTGAGTTATAATATTTAGAAACTATAAACCATATTTCTAGTTATTCTGCAGTGTTAATAGGTGTTTCATGAATACAAAATTCCATGGTTAAACTTGCTTAGGAAATGGTGAGTTTAAAGTTAAATTGATTTTTTTCTTAATGCAGACTTCTCTAAGCCTTTACTATGCTAATTTATAATGTAAATGAATGGTTTAAGATATAAAGTATTAGGGCTGGGCGCGGGGTGGCTCATGCCTGTAATCCCAGCACTTTGGGAGGCCAAGGTGGGTGGATCACGAGGTCAAGAGATCGAGACCATCCTGGCCAACATGGTGAAACCCCGTCTCTACTAAAAATACAAAAAAATCAGCTGGGCATGGTGGTGCGTTCCTGTAATCCCAGCTACTCAGGAGGCTGAGGCAGGAGAATTGTCTGAACCCAGGAGGCGGAGGTTGTGGTGAGCCAAGATTGTGTCATTGTACTCCAGCCTGGGTAACAAGAGCGAAACTCCGTCTCAAAAAAAAAAAAGATATAAAGTATTTCCCAAACTTACTTGGCTGTGCAAAATAATGTTCACATACATATCTGTAAAACTCTGGTGATTATTAATGCATGTGGAAAATATCATATGCTGAGTTATTTATTGTCTTAAAGACATTACATTTTTTTTAAACACTCAAATATTTTAAAAGTAATATTTTGGGGTGTCAGTCTAGTTGGGCTTAGGAAAACAAAAGTTAAATAGCTATAAAATTGGTTATATGACAGTAAAGTCAGTTTTGTTTTTTAAAACTGAATTGAGAAATTTATGCTTTCCTTCATCCGGGTTGAACTAAAGCCAGTATGATTATTCTTTAAAAGTTTCAAATTGTCTCTGTTGCTTTCACTGCTTTTTTATAGAGAGCCATGACTCTTACAATGGATCCCTAAAGAAAAACAATACAGGTTTTTGAGAGGATGCAGGCATGCCTACTGAATTAAAAAGTAAAGTCTGCAAAGTTTGTTTTCGTTGCTCTCACCATTTCCCTAGCTTCCGTGCCTCATGCGGTTTCTTTGTTGCCCCACCTTTGGGTCTGTCTCAAATTATCACATTCTTAAAGTACGCTGTTTTCCAATGGCAAAGTATCCATTGGAAAAAGCTTTGGGTTTTGTTTACATTTAATGCAGAATTTTATAGGACAGAAATTGATGGAGATTATTTTGGATAGGAGGACTTTTGGGTCACTATCTTCATAGTGGTTTCCTATTTTAAAGAGTTGTTTTCTAAGATGCAAATATTTATTTCATAGGCTATTGAAGCCCTTTTTTGAGATTAGTCATTCTTCGTGTATTTTAAAGACTATATAGTAATGATAACCAACCATCTGTTATTAAAGAACCTAAATAATTGTACTAATTTAAGATCACAGAGAAAACTCATCAATTTATAGATATTTGTTTAGAAGAGTGTCCTTTATATAGATAGGTAGTTATATATTTATGCAAGTAGTTATTCTATTTGACATATTGTATTGCATTTACAAGATTATTTCTGAATTTCTGTAATTGTGAATTAGAATCTGTGATAGAACCACCAGCGAATTACATGTTCTTAACTCAGTTTTCAAATCAGCAAAAATACGTGTAAGCAAAACAGAAATAAATTGTTCTCTTAGAGGTAAATGTGACATCCAAATGGCAAGCAAAAGTAAAGTTTACCCATAGAAGAAAGACTTGTATTTCCTAATTTTTTTCTCATCAGTTGTAATATATCACTTTTAACTAACAGACTCCAAAAAGCTAAATCACACTCCTGTATCAACCATGAGTTCTTCTCAGCCTGTGTCACGACCACTGCAACCCATACAACCAGCACCGCCTCTTCAACCATCTGGGGTGCCAACAAGTGGACCATCTCAGACCACCATACACTTACTACCTACAGGTAAATTTATTGAATCATTGAGTAGAAGCTTTAGTTTTGCCTGCAGAAAACTATCAATATGGAGTTAAGTGGAAAGATAAGACAGAAAATTAAGAACAATTCTAATTGCTAATTTGAGGACTGCAATGTATGTCTTGTTGAAGGCAGTATAACTTAGTTTTGCTGTCTTAAGTAGCTGCACTGGTAAAGAATGATTATAGAGAAAACTTAAAGTATGTATTTATTTAACCTTATGTAAGTAAAAATAGAAGTAATTTTTAAAAGCATTTACATCCAAAATAATAATATTCTGAGTTAGTTATAATATTTAGAAACTGTAAACCATATTCCTAGTTATTCTGCAGTGTTAAACAGGTGTTTCATGAATACAAAGTTCCATCATTAAATATGCTTGGGAAATGCTGAGTTTAAAGATAAATTGATTTTTTTCCTTAATGCAGACTTGTCTAAGCCTTTACTATGCTAATTTGTAATATAAATCTCCAAGAATGATTTAAGATATAAAGTATTTCTCAAACTTACTTGGCTGTACAAAATAATGTTCACATACGTATCTATAAAACTTTGGTGATTAATGAATGTGGAAAATAATATTATTCTGAGTTATATTTTTGAGACCAGCCTGGGCAACACAGTGAAAACCCTGTTTCTATAAAAAATTTAATATTAGCAGATTTGTTATCTGCCACAGCAAATGTTCTGTAAACAGCAGAAATGAGTGTAGTTTCTTCGGAAGGGGTGGATATTAATGACTTATTCTGAGTGTGACCAAGAAGTTATAATTGATTGACCAAGAATTTTTACACGTGGCTTATCTTGAAATAGCTTTAACTAGTCTAACACTACCATCAGGAAGCATATGCTTACTACCTTTCAAGAAACTGTAAATTCAACATTTTCAGGATTTAGTCTGTATCTTCTAAACTGTTCAGAAACCCATCAAGATGGTTTGTCTTCTGTAAAGCAGTCCATTTGCTTGAAGACTTAACTGCATAGTACTTATGTAAGTACTTTTCTCATTAAGGAAAACATTGAATTAAGTGGGGTTCTATCCAGTGAAATTTATACCTAAAACACCAGGTAACTTGTAGGAATCAGGATGTTTTCCAAAGTTACTTAGCAAACTATTTATTGTTAATCTTTTGAGTTATTAAATTATCATTAATGCAGTAAATGCGTGGTTGTTTTGGTAGAGACTATTTAGATTTAAAATAATTTCCTATCAATTAAAATAAATTTTACCTTGTTGGCATTGCCAGGCAAAAGAATGTGTTTATGAAACTTTATTTCTGGTGTGTAGATTTTATATTGGTTCTCATATTTCAATACCATTGTTCTAAGTAGGCAGTTATTAGTAAGTTCAACTTTGGGAGCTGTGTTATCTTTCTTTACATATATACAAAGTTATGATAACAGTCATCAAAATTAGATATTTTGGAAGGAAATGTCATTGTTCAAACCCATGGGCAGCATAGATTATGGAATGGGGAGTGAAGAGATAAAGAGATAAGTGTTCTTTCTTATCAATGCTTTCTTCCCCTTTTCTGAAAACTCACATTGAAAGTTAGGCTCTGTAAAGACTAAAGAGTCTTTAGTAAATAAACCTTTTAATCTTTGTTATAGCCAATATATTCCTCCAAATTTATTTTATTATGGAACCCATTTTTTTATATGAAAGATTTATTATTTTTTTATTATATAGTTACTACATGGCCATTTGTAAAATATGATTCTAATTCAGAGAGTTGTTAACAAGAAACTGTTACTTAAAAATCATTCTTGTAGCCTGGGCATAGTGGCTCATGCCTGTAATCCCAGCACTTAGGTAGGCTGAGGCAGGTGGATCACGAGGTCAGGAGTTCGAGACCATCCTCGCCAACATGGTGAAACTACCTCTCTACTAAAATACAAAAAAATAAATCAGCTGGACCTGGTGGTATGCACCTGTAGTCCCAGCTACTCGGGAGGCTGAGGCAGGGGAATCGCTTGAACCTAGGAGGCAGAGATTGCAGTGAGCCAGGATCTGCCACTGCACTCAAGCCTGGGTGACAGAGTGAGACTGCCTCAAAGAAAAAAAAATCATTATTGTAGATACATGCTGTCTGAAAGTTTAGGACTCATTTTTTGATAAACATTTATGAACATTACTCAAGGTATTAATGCTTTCTGGAACATACAATAGGAGGAATGCCAGAGTAGAGAAGGAAGAAGTCTGTTTTTTAATGGATTTTATTTACTGTTTTTAAAAAAAGATAGATTGGTTCAGCTAAACAAAATGTGAGATAATGAGATAGAGATAGGTTGGCTCACTTGAAAACTAAATGTGTGCTTATGTTCTACTGTTCTTCTGGGAAATTAAAAAAAAAAAAAAAAGAAAAAAGAATAGAAAAATAAATGTGAATTACCAATAGCCAGTCAGTTTCTTGATCTTTGAGAGTACAAAGATATTCTTTTGGATTTATGCCCCCTTGATAGAAGACCTGGAGGGCTTATACTAATTAAAGAACTTTGCTAAGAACAATTAAAATTAGGAAGTTTTTATCTTTTTAGTCACTCCTGTGGCATCTTACTCTTAAATCTACACTTAAAGAAAGAAAAATCTTCACATTACTTATTGTCTGGTCAAACCAAAGAGTGGGAAGGGAATTGGATGTGGTAGAGGTGCTCTTTTCCTTCAAAGCATAGATTTTAATAGTATTAATGTTTATTGGCCCTATCATTTTTATCTTAGACGATCACAAAAAGAGACTGTTACTTCGATTTCTCTCTTTATCATAGTTAGATTTTATGCAAAGATAACTACCATTAAATACTGTTTGCTTAATGTAGAATTTACTGTATTCTTAATATCTTTTTTCTGCCTTGCATTAGCTCCAACTACCGTGAATGTAACACACCGTCCAGTAACTCAGGTGACCACAAGACTCCCTGTACCAAGAGCTCCTGCAAACCACCAGGTGGTTTATACAACTCTTCCTGCACCACCAGCTCAGGCTCCCTTGCGAGGAACTGTTATGCAGGCTCCTGCTGTTCGGCAGGTCAATCCCCAAAATAGTAAGAGACTTTTCTTGTATATGGCCCCAAGATACATGTAACTCTTTTCAGCATTTAGTTGGAGTGGCATATAATAATGTTAAATTTTGCAAAAATTTCTTATAATGTCATATCAAAAGTATTGTTATCAGTTCAAGAGATCTGTACTACAACATGGAAACTACAGTATAGTTGAAAACAGTGTAGTGTATTCTTGAAAGTAGCTGATAGAGCAGATTTTCCATGTTGTCAGCACACACAAAAAAGGTAAGTATGTGAGATCATGTCAATTAGCTAGATTTAGCCATTCTGCAGTGTATACATATTTCAAAACATAATGTTGTATACTATAAATATATATAATTTTTGTCAATTAAAAATAATTTTCAGAAAAGAAATGGCAGTATAACCAAAAGTAATCTATTACTATTTTTCTTCCCTTAGGATAGGTAACCAGAGAAAATTGTTCATGTATACTAGTGGATTTGTGCTCTGAGTGTTGTCTTTTACTTTGTTTATGGCCTGTACTACTGTAGTACACAAGTTGATTTTGGTATATTCTCTATTCTGTTGAGAGACACCTTACCTAATTAAAGTGGGAATGGTCAATTGTGACTTAGCTCAGATGATAGAAATCATGGTGAAGGATAGCCTTCAATGAGAGTCTTAAAGATATGGAAAGTGGCTGAGAAATAAAAGAAGGGAAAATGTTAAAGGAAGCTTGTAGTTTCCTATAGATATCATATATTAGTTACATATATATGTTACATACATGTTATATAGGTATATGACATATATTTTAAAATTATTAACCATACATATATATAAGTAGTAGATTATATCATATAAACCCAAACTTATATAAAAGGTATATTTAAACTTTAAGGTAAAGAAAAATAATAAAATGAACTACCTATGAACTCTTCATCAGGTTAAGAAATAGAAATATTTTAATATGCTGTAATTGCTCTTGTATCCCTGTCTTCACTACATTCCTTTTCCTTTCCATCAAAGATAACCACTGTTCCTGCTTTTCTATTACTCATTCTGCTTTTCTTTATGATTTTGCCAACAATGTTGATATCATTAAAACATACTACATTAGGGATCTCTAGAGGGATGGAACTAACAGGAGAGAGATATATAGATATATAGATGTATATACACACACACATATATATGTACATATACATGTATATAATATATATACAAGTATATACGTGTGTTTGTATATATGTATATATATACACATATACACATATGTATACATATATACATATATATGTGTATATGTGTATATATGTAAAGAGTTTTTTTAAAAAATACATATATACATATGTATATATGTGTATATATGTATATATACACATATGTATATACTATAACATATATATAATAAACATACGTGTGTGTGTGTATAAATATATATATATATATATATATATATATATATATATATATGTATGTATGAAGTGGAGTTTACTAAGTATTAACCGACATGATCACAAGGTCCCACAATAGGCTGTCTGCAAGCTGAGGAGCAAAGAAAGACAGTCTGAGTCCCAAAACTGAAGAACTTGGAGTCCGTTGTTTGAGGGCAGGGAGCATCCAGCATGGGAGAAGGATGTAGGCAAGAAGGCTAGGCCAGTCTCTCCATTTCCCGTTTTTCTGCCTGCTTTATATTCCATAGCAGCTGATTAGATTGTGCCTTCCAGATTAAGGGTGGATCTTACTTTCCCAGCCCACTGATTCAAATGTTAATCTCTTTTGGCAACATCCTCACAGACACACCCAAGATCACTGTTTTGTATCCTTCAATTCAATCAAGTTGACACAGTATTAACCATCACAAGTCTACCCCTTGTCAGCTTGAACCCATACATATCTCCTGAGATCATATATATATTTCAAATAAAGAAAGTTATTGGAAATTATTACACCTAACGTAATACAACTATCCTTTGTACAACTGAAAACACACCAATCCCCAAGCCAAGTACTATTACATAAAGTTAACAATACTTAAATCTTGATAGGAAGTCAATAAATCTTATGTCACATGATAAAGAAGAAAATACATTTTCTTAGTACAAGTGTGTACATGCACAAATATGTTTTTAGTGAAAGAGGAGGAAATACTCATGATAATTACAGTCTGTTTCTGTAGCTGGTTACATGGTCATAGCTGGTATTGATGACTACCTTCTTCTACTACCCAGGCTGGGGAAGAGAATGCAGGGTGGCAGGAGTGGAAACCATAGGTCTTTGAGTCACTTGCTCATGTAACTTACTGTGCCTTCAGGATCTGCTTGAGCCCAATCACATATATACCACTTCGATTTGATGATAGAATGCTGCTCTCCATGACCCACCTTACGGCTCAGTGGGTCAGAAAGCACCCAGTTCATGACAGTCAGCTCAGGTTGCATGGTGACTTGATGACCCATAGTCAGACGTTCAGTTTCCACCAAAGCTCGGTTAACAGGCCAAGAGCTGTCTCTCAAAAGGAGAGTAGTTACCTGCAGAAGATGGCAGGGCCTTGCTCCAAAATCCTGAAGACCTTTACTGTGATTCACATATGGGGGCCTGCCAAAGACTCCAGACACTATAACCATCTACGTGTGACACCTCAAGCACCGTTGAATCTGCTTGTTCATATGGCCCAAGTGGCAGAGCAGCTTGTCCAGAATGTTGGATCTGTTATAGAGCCTTCTTCTGTTCTGGATCCCACTCAAAACTGGCAGCCTTTTGGGTCATTTGATAAATGGACCAGAGTAACACACCCAAATGAGGAACGTGTTGCCTTCAAAATCTAAATAGGCCTATCAGATGTTGTGCCTCTTTCTTGGTTGTAGGAAGGACCAAATATTGCAACTTCTCCCTTACCTTAGAAGGAATGTCCTGACAGGCCTCCATACCACTGGACCCCTAGAAGTTTTACTGAGGTAGAAAGTCCCTGAATTTCAGTCGGATGTATTTCCCATCCTCTGGCACACAGATGTCTGATCAATAAGTTCAGTGTTTTTGCTACTTCTTTCTCACTTGATCCAGTCAGCACAATGTCCTCAATGTAATGGACCAGTGTGATATCTTGTGGGAGCAAAAACTGATCAAGATCTCTCAGAATAAGACAATGACACAAAGCTGGAGAGGTGATATACCCCTGAAGTAAGACAGTAAATTTATGTTGCTGTCTTTGCCAGCTGAAGGCAGATTGCTTCTGATGGGCCTTGTGGACAGGTATGTAGGAAAAGGCATTTGCCAAATCCATGGCTGCACGCCAGGTACCAGGAGATGTGTTAATTTGCTCAAGCAATGAAACCACATCTGGTATGGCAGCTGCAATTGTAGTCACCACTTGGTGAAGCTTAGGATAATCCACTGTCATTCTCTAAGATCCATCTGTCTTCTTCATAGGCCAAATGGATGAGTTGAATGTAGATATGGTGGCAGTCACCGCCTCTGCATCTTTCAACTTCTTGATGGTGGCACTAATCTTCTCAATCCCTCCAGTGATGTGATACTATTTTTAATTTACTATTTTTCTAGGTAGAGGCAGCTGTAATAGCTTCAATTTGATCTTAATAATAGCCATAATAGCCCTCACCCTACCAGTCAGGGAGCCAATGATAGCCCCTCAATCAGTTTCCAGACTTGAGACAGTTTACAGACCCAGAACCCCTTGAATGAAGGAGGGGTCAGGTCCACTTGAGGAAGGACCCCAGTAGATTCCCGACAATTTATGCAGTGGATCTTTCTCCCATCCAGAAGTCTCTGTCAGATGCTAAGTATGTTGATGCCAATTATACATTCTGGCACTGGGGAAATGACCTCAGGAGGAGTCTAGGGATGCACTGGACCCACTGTAAGTTGGACCTGAGGTAAAACTCTATTAATTATCTGATCTCCATAAGTCCCTACTTTTAACAGGAGGACCACAATGACGTTTTGGGTCCCCTGGAATCAGCATCAGCTCAGAGGGAGCATTCAGTAGTCTCCGAAATGTCTGATCATTTCCCATTTCCCAGTGCACAATTACCTTGGTAGAAGGCTGGAGATCTCCTTGGGCAAGGATAGAAGAAAGGTTCACTGCATAAATTGTTGGGAATCTACTGGGGTCCTTCCTCAAGTGGACCCCTCCTTCATTCAAGGGGTTCTGGGTCTGTAAATTGTCTCAAGTCCAGAAACTGATTGAGGGGCGGGCTGTCATTCTGTTTTTATTATTCAATTTAGTCTTTTGTCCATTCAACCTAGAAGCTTTCTGGTTTTATAAATTAAGTAGGAATGCAGTAGGCTTCCTATCAGTTTTACCTCTAGGAATACTCTGATTAACTAGCCAATGCCAGAGCTCTACACAAGTGAGACTCTTCTGATTGCCACTTTGCCTCTGCTGTCCATTACAGTAGGTACTCCCACCTTGCCTTTGACAGTTCAGTGCCACCACTTGGCCGCTGCCACCTCAGGATCCAATTATTTCCATTGTATTTAAATTTTGTAGTTGAGTGACTGCGGTTCCCACCATTAGATCTGACATAAAGAGATGAACAATTACAGAGCTCTTCAAAGATGCAGGTGCTGCCCTTACAAATCTGTTTTGCAAGGCATTGGGCAAGGGTATATCTTCTGGACCCTCCCAGCTGGGAGGAGTAGCTCTAAAGTGACTGATCCACCCCACCATCCCAGTCTCCCTTAGTTATTGGATCCCATCCTCTACATTAAACCAAGGGAGATCAGGCATTTCCAGGTCACTCAGTAGGCCATCTTTTAATCCATATTTCAACTAACCAAGCAAATGATCTTTTAGGCTTTTTTGACTCCCTGAGCTGCAGCATTAAGTGCAGAGCCCCAAATTAGTGGGCCCAAATCAAGAAATTCAGCCTGATCTAACTTTATGTTCCTTCCACCATAATCTCATTTCCTTAATATCCATTCCCATTCTTGTTCTCTAGATTTCTGTGTATACAAATTAGAGAACTAAAAACAGTTCTCTTCAAGTGTAGCACACCTCCTCATAGGTTATACTCTCAACCGTGTCACTCAGGACTTTAGTTATAGGTCTAGAAGCAAAGAGAGGTGTTGGAGTGGCTCCTGAGAAGAATCAACATTTTGCCAGGCAACTGCGTCAGGGGAGGCCATCACTGTTGCCTCATTCAGCATAGGTTTTATCTCCTCAGACAAAGGTGGAAAGGCTGATAGCAGTAGTATGGGTCAGGGAGCGTTTGTTGTCACTACTGGGGATGGGGAAGCTGTTCTAACTTTTTTTTTTTTTGGAGGCAGAATCTCGCCCTGTCGCCTAAGCTGGAGTGCAGTAGCATGACCTCAGCTCACTGCAACCTCTGCCTTCCTGGTTCAAGCAATTCTCCTGCCTCAGCCTCCTGAGTAGCTGGGATTATAGACGTTTGCCACCACACTCAGCTAATTTTTGTATTTTTAGTGGAGATGGAGTTTCACCATGCACTATGTTTGCCAGGCTGGTCTCGAACTCCTGACCTCATGATCCGCCTGCCTCAGCCTCCTAAAGTACTGAGATTACAGGTGTGCACCACCATGCTCAGTCGGAAGCTGTTCTTTCTGGCAAAAAAGGGTTCATCAGCATTTACAAACTCAATGTCCCCAGCTTCATCAGCGTCCTCCCACACACCGTCATTCCAAGTTTCCAGGTCCCATTCTTTTTCAATTAATGCTGTCACCTTTAACAGTGGATGCCTGTCGCGGCTGTGCATACATCTTTTGTTGCAGGTCAGCCACTTGCTTGGTAAGAGCTTGTGTCTGTTTTTCAACAATTTCAGCTCTTTCTCTACAGAAGATAAGACTCATTCAGGGCAGTCTTGGCAGATTTGAGCTTCAGTATGTTTTTCTGAAGCCAGGAGACAGAATCCCTGATTTCATGATTTTCTTTTATCACTTTGTCCACTGAACTTAGGAACAATTGACCAGCTTTATTATGTTCCGCACATACGGTCCAAGGTATTATGTATAGGCATTAAACTTGGCCTCTCAGAAGCAGTGAATCAGGAGTATCAAACGCATTTACTTTGTATAACTCTCTAGACAGTTCACCCCAGGGGTTATCAGCATTCTCTATACTATTAGAAGTAGAATTGTTAGGATTTTTGGGTCTAATCATATTAAGCAGTCAACTCCAGAAACCCGAAAATCAATGAAAGAACTCCATCCTTAATATTCTGTTCCTCTTTACCCCACTTCAGGTACCAAAGTCTGAATCAGGGTTCTGTAGAGGGACAGACAGAGATAATAGTATACACACACACACACATCCTATGTATATATCCTGTATATAATATTTATATGACACATAATGTAAACTAATAGGATATATATTATATATGTTATATATGTATTGCACTAATAGGGTATATTATACTGTATATATAAAGTAATAGGATATAAAGATATGTATATGCTCTCTATATATAAACTAATAGGATATCCTATAGTTTGTATACAGTATATGTTTTATTTACATACATATATTAATATATATAAAGTATATACTTTATTTGTAGTAAATGTTTATATATATAAAGAGAAGTTTATTAAGTATTAATTTTCATAATCAGAAGGTCCCACAACAGGCCAGGCGTGGTGGCTGACATCTGTAATCCCAGCACTGTGGGAGGCCAAGGCGGGCAGATCACATGAGGTCAGGAGTTTGAGATGAGCCTGGCCAACATGGTGAAACCTCATCCTTACTAAAAATACAAAAATTGACTGGGCATGGTGGTGTGTGCCTGTAATCTCAGCTACTCGGGAGGCGACAGAGCCAGACTCCATCTCAACCAGAAAAAAAAAAAAAAAAAAAAAAAAAGATTCCACAATAGGCTGTCTGCGAACTGAGGAGCAAGGAAAGCCAGTCTGACTCCTAAAACTGAAGAACTTGTAGGTTGATGTTCCAGGGCAGGAAGCATCCAGCAGGGGAGAAAGATACAGGCTAGGAGGGTAAGGCTAACTGCCTGCTTTATATTTTCTGGCACCTGATTAGACTGTGTCCACCGGATTAAGGGAGGTTCTGCCTTCCCAGCCCACTGACTCAAGTGTTAATCTCTTCTGGCAACACTCTCGCAGACACATCCAGGATTAATACTTCATATCCTTCAATCAAGTTGATACTCACTGTTAACCATCACACATATGTAGTATTTGGTTTTGCAAAATGTAATAGCAAGGACAAATATAACTGTTTAAAGAAACATAGTAATGCCATCATTAGAAAATAAACTGATTGGAGTCTCTGGATCATAGTTTGGCTTCAGCTCTCTCAAGTTTACAAGAGTGTTGTCTGAGAAAATTAATCAGCAAGATTAGAAATGAGTTCTGGGAAACTTGGCTCACCATAGTCAGGGCACCAGGCAGAACTACAGCATGGGCCAGGTACTGAATATATGGCAGGTATATGGTCAGGGCAGTAGGTGGCTGTAAATTTTCTATTTTTCCCTGGTGTATGTCACAGCATTTTTCTGTGGGGTGAAATGAGTATCCTCAACCAATCCCCTGGGCATGGAGAGAATGAGAGGAACCTCATTAATAGATGGCAAATATGACTTATTCTAGCTTTCCATACTGATTGAAAAGATGAGACAGCAAAGATTTTTATGAAGATACTGCCAATTTGTATGTCTTTTGAGTCACACTGCTCCATTACAGCCATTTACCATTTACATGTGATACACAAGTAGTGTTGTAGGATTTGTGTTCATAGTTCTCCTGGTAAGGATCTATTTATTTCTCCCTGTCCTGGACCTCCTGTTCTTTGTGTTTCGTGTGTTTCTCTTTATTTTCTCACATATTGGTAGCACATATTCTCCAGTGACTACTTGAGAAAGGGTTTATGGTAGTCAGAATTTTTTTTAAGTGCTTGCATATCAGAAAGTTTCTTTATCCACAGGCTGGATGATAGCTTGGCTAAATACGAATAAGACCTTTAGGTTAGAAGTAAGTTACTTTTCAAATCTTGAAAGCATTGCTTCACTGACTGCAAATATTTAGTCAGTTTTCCACCAAACTTACAAGAGAATTATCATTTTATCCTGTAATTTTTTTTGTAGGTGTTACAGTTCGAGTGCCTCAAACAACCACATATGTTGTAAACAATGGACTAACCCTGGGATCAACAGGACCTCAGCTCACAGTGCATCATCGACCACCACAAGTGCATACTGTAAGTGTTGATGCTTGGTTTTGCAAAATCCTCAACTGTAAAGCTACAAAATATTATTGTAGTTGATGTTTTTCTTTAAAGTGGTTATATCCAAAGGAAATGTTAGGTCTTTCTGCTTTTCCAGATGTTTATTTCTAAAAATTGATGTTACCATTATGAAGAAATGTTCCTAGGGATGATGATTATTTAGAATCATTGAACTTGCTTGTGTACAAAAACAGGTCCACAGTGGGGTATACGAAGTGAAATATAGACCATTTCTAATTTATAGTTAAATTAAAAAGGACATTTTTCATTTTTCCATGTTCTGATTGTATTCTTTCCGTCTATACCACATCCAACTGCTACTTTGTTGTCAGTTGTTTTAAAGAATCCAGTGATACTGGGAGTTCATTAGTTCAGAGGTAATAGAGAGAACCAAAGATTTCTCCATAGATTTAGGCTCCAAAACAATGTCACATTATCCTGTGGCACACTTTTGGCAGTGTTTGATTGGTATGAATTATCATTGTGATGATTATGTTCTAGTGTTAGGAAAGTCAGTAGGACTTCCTAAATCGTCATGTTTTTTCATGATCTGGCTTTAACCTATCTTTCCAGATTTTTTGTCATATACCTTGTGTCCAAGAAAAAGTTAATACTTGTTCCTCTTCACATGCCTTTGCTCATGCTTTATCTATTGGCTGAAAAGGTACATGATTATTTCCACATCTCTGGATTCTATCTTTCACAGTTCAGTTTAAATATCACCTTTTTCTTATAAACTAGCCAAGAATATAGTACATATTCAATGTTAATGCTCTGATTTATAAGAATATACTACTATCTTATATTGCAAAATAACTTAAAAATGCAAGTACTCCAGTTTTTTATGATCTTGGCTGCCATACATGATATTTAAGAGTGTTACATCATACTAAAGTGAGAATCTGTAACATAGATAATTTGATCATAAATTGTTTTGTTAGAAGAAGCTCATTATTTCGATGTTTCTCAAAATGATGTTCCATCAGCAGGGGCTTTTTATTTCCCAAGAAAAACTCAAAGTATTTTAGGTCTAGGAAATAGACACCAAATTGAACTTCCAAGTTTGATCACGGTATTTGGTATTTCTTAGAATTCTTGGTGTAAAATAATATCTCTCTATCTGTTCTCTAAGGTGTTTTAATTCTAACATTCTAAAATAGTTCTTTTTGTGATCATGATAAATCAGTGTGACTTTTTTTTTAGGAGCCCCCACGCCCTGTGCACCCAGCACCCTTACCAGAAGCTCCACAACCACAGCGTCTGCCCCCAGAAGCTGCCAGCACATCTCTGCCTCAGAAGCCACACTTGAAGTTAGCACGAGTTCAGAGTCAAAATGGCATAGTACTGTCATGGAGTGTCCTGGAGGTGGATCGAAGCTGTGCCACTGTTGATAGCTACCATCTCTATGCTTACCATGAGGAACCCAGTGCCACTGTGCCCTCACAATGGAAAAAGATTGGAGAAGTAAAGGCACTTCCCTTGCCCATGGCATGTACTCTCACCCAGTTTGTATCTGGTAGCAAATACTACTTTGCAGTACGAGCCAAGGATATTTATGGACGTTTTGGGCCTTTCTGTGATCCTCAGTCAACAGATGTGATCTCTTCTACCCAGAGCAGTTAAACCTTGGAGCCTTTATATTTTCCTCTTTTAAATTTTCCACCTTTTGGTCTTGTTTTTAATCTTGTGCATGATACCCCACGTAAAATCCACCTTGTGGATTTCTTGGACAGATTTGTGTATACACTACATTTGTTTATAACAGAAGCAAAATAAACCCAGCCCACAAAGCAAGAATCTTTTCCTGGACAATTTAGGCTTTGGGGTTTCAAAATGTAAATGTGTACCTTGGTTTAGTTTTGAGGCTGGGGAATATGTATGGGTGTTTGTGTGTGTTTTTCCCTATTTATGTCTTATTGCATTGGGGTCTCCCATTTTTATTCTCAAATTTACCTCTTAAAATACAAATTAAGTAGATCAAAGGATTGGAGATGTAAAACTGGTATGATTCTGCTTTTAAAGGATCTGTAGGATCATTTTAGTTAAGTGGCTTAAACAGAATCAAAACCCAAAGAAATAAAAAACAAAATGGCTAAATAGTTTAAAATAGGTTAATTCGAACACAGGAAAGGATCTATTTGTCTTTTCTTTTGTCGAGTCTCCTGAGTTGTTAATTAGGTGAAAAAATATCTGCAGTGGTCCCCTTCCGTTCCTAATCTGGCTTTTACATTTGTTTTGTGCCTTAAAGATTATCTACAAAAATACACATGGCCAAAAATAAAAAATAAACATGGCCGTATGTCCATTGTTGTTTACTCTTCTTTTTCAGCCTTTTATCCTTGATTTCTCCTTCATCTCTACCAAATATAGCACACCTCCTCAAATAACTTTTTTTTTTTTTTTGAGACAGTTTCGCTCTTGTCACCCAGGCTAGAGTGCAGTGGTGCAATCTCAGCTCACTGCAACCTCCACCTCCTGGGTTCAAGCAGTTCTCCTGCCTCAGCCCCAGAGTAGCTGGTATTTCAGGCACCTGCCACCATGCCTGGCTAATTTTGTATTTTTAGTAGAGACAGTGTTTCACCATGTTAGCCAGGCTGGTCTTGAACTCCTGACCTCAGGTTATCTGCCACCTTGGCTTTCCACAATGCTTTGATTAGTCATGAGCCACGATGCCCAGCCACCTCAAGTGATTTTTAAACCAAGGGGTGTGTGTGTGTGTGTGTGTGTGTGTGTGTATGTGTATATGTGTACATAGATGTATATGTACACACACATATCCCGTGCACAGTCTCATCTGTGGCATCACATTTAACTCCAAAAATTTGACGTGCTGTTTTCTTCGAAAACTATAGATGCTTTTATTTTTGGTTACTATTTAACTTTGTGTAAAGTGGACCAAGAGAAAACCATATTGTGGAAGAAAATTTTTCGTAAACATTGTATCCATGTTGCACACTGTTAGAGATTATGAAAATGATTCTTGTTTAGTTTATTACCCAACGCTATCACCCAATACCAGTTTCTTAGTATTCTTTCAAAGGAAGCCAACAGTAAGATTCACAATACAAGAATTAGCTGAAATATAAAGGGGAAAGCTTCATTTCCTCTTTATTCTCATATCATCCTTCCTGTTTTAACCTTTGAACTTTGTTTTGATGGTGCCAAGTTGAGTCTGATGTACCCATTGTTAGCTTTGGATAGAATATAAAGTATATCCCAAAATTAGCCGGGCATGTTGGCACATGCCTGTAATCCCAGCTACTCAGGAAGCAAGGCTGGAGAATCGCTTAAACCCATGAAGGGGCAGTAGCAGTGAGCTGAGAGATTGCCCCATTGTGCTCCAGCCTGGGTGACAAGAGCAAAACTCTGTCTCAGAAAAAAGAATTTAAAGTATATCCTTTGAGGTCATTTTATGTAACAATTAGATATAACCTCCTGTGTATCTCTGTTCCTCTTCAAAGTTATTAAAATTCAACTTAGGTCATTGATTTTTAATACGAGGACCAGCTGCACTGGTGTCAGGTAGGTGTTCTGAGTGTAGATAGTTTAGGACTGGAGGGCTCAGTTAAGTTTTAGGAGTGAGAATGTGGTTGAGAGTAATTGAAAGGGATTCATGGAGTTTGTGAAATAACTTACAAATCTTCTTCCTTTACAGTATTTGAATTCATATTTGTACCTTCTCAAAATAGTCATTCATTTTTCCTAGAATTACAGGAGGGAGCTCTTGCTTTTATTAACGTTTTGTTTGCAACTTTGATGGCTTGTAATAGGAAGTATTCTACTTGTAAAGAAACTCTTTAGAGACTTTTGACTGGTCAGTAACACTATCGTCTGAGGTGTGAGATTTGATTGATGATGAAGAAAGCCTATAGATTGCCAAAAAATTAGTGCTCCAAACCTCCTTTGACTCTCAGAAAATGAGACCACAAGGTGTATGCTATAAATCATATTTGCCAACCGTGTAGACATTACTCATTCTAGAGCTAATGAGGATGATGAAGAAGTTGCCAGTGTCACAGCACCAAACATTTCAAAAGGAAGGAGTCGATAATCTTGTAGATGTATATGAACACCTGTCTATATCTGCATGTATATGTTTTGACCTGATGTGGTTGCAGTGTTGATTATGTGTTCAAGATTATTCCTGTCTACAGAATTGAAGGCCCATGTTCAAATTGTTCTTTATTGGCTGTTTTTATGGTCACATGGTAACAGTTTTCTTACCTAACCTACAAAATGTTCTCTTGATGAACATTTTTATTTATATTTACTAATCTTTTTAAAAAAACTTCCATAGCATTACATAATAAGATGAAGAAAGCCCAGTAGAATAAAAAGAAAATTTATTATCCTAGCCTATATTATGTTTTCTGTCAAAGGAAAACAATTAAATTCTCAAATAGGAATCCTAAAAATAGATTTACTAAAGTAAAATAATTACTTAAAATGCTTTCTTCCAGTTGGAAGGAAGGTACAGGGAGAGATCACAATATTTAGGGGAAAAGTATATTTATTATAAGATGATTTCCTCAAATTAGCCTACCATGGCATGTAGGAGCAGCAGCTATATTACATTTACTAAAAGGTGCTAGGTTAGAACACCAGGCTTTTATTTGAGACAGGTTTGTAATGCTGATGGACACTTTTTGTTTGGTTCGTTTCTTCTGGGAGAGAGAATGGAGGACTTCAGTACAAATAGCTACTGGTAACAGACTCTCTAGTAGCAGTTTCCACTCCATGGTTACCTTTTTAATTTCATAGTATTTTCACAAAGTATTACAAATAAGCTAGATTCTCCCATTTTGGGAATGAAAGTTTGCTACAATTTTAGCCTAGCAATATTTGTGTAGGTATTGCCTATTGGAAATTCTGAAAACCTGATGTTGCAACCTGCAATGTAGGATGTCTGTATGGCATTTAAAGATAACGGTGATGTTTATTACTCTACTTTGCATTCTGTGAGAGTAATTTTCACTCTGTCAAGTGTGAGTAAGCCTCTTTTAAAAATCCTGTTCTTGCCAAGAAATTTATAAATCACATGCAAAGACGTCTGTTGTTAACAGTTTATGAGGTAACTATATCCTTCGATTTCTCTGGATTCATTTTTTTAAATATGCAGAATACTGCATACTGTTTAAGATAGTATATAAGTTTATGAGAAAAGTGGAGAGCTTTCTTCCTTGAAAAGTGGATATTGAGATACCATTTGCCTCACAGAGAGGTGTTCCTTACTTTCATCCCCATTGCCAGACAATAAATATTTTGAAAAAAGTGACCTAAAACAAACAGCTTAAATGTTAGATTCATCTGTCTGCATATCTCCTTAAGCAGGCTGTATCTTACAGTTCTCTTACTGCATTGGGTAAGTGTTAACTTGGTTGTTTTTGTTTGCACTTTTGCTTTATATATTCTCAAAATTACCATTTATGCAACAAGGTTAGTGTTAATATTGCATGATACTCATTTATCTTGTTTCATGAGCTTTCCAGTACTGTACAAGGTCAAAAAAGTAATGCCTGTGGTATCCTCATCTCTCACGTTTTTACACTGTGATCTTAGCACAGTAAGGTACTGCAAAGACCTTCCTTCCAAATGTTCTCCTTCCAAGACTTTCCTTGTTGGGCCAATTCAGTATCCTCAACATCCTATGATTTTGTTATTTTATCACTGACCTGTGATTGGCCTGTTTTATTCTAATTTCCAGAAAACCCAAGTCCCAGTATTTGCAATAGCAAATAACTGTCTAAAACCAATGTGTGATTCTACCTTCTTTACTATTTTTACTGGGCAAATGCCCTTTTTTTTTTTTTTAACTTTGGGGACACACACAAAAATCAGCAGTTCTCATAAAGTGTTCGCTAGTGTGGCAGACTTATCTAATTCCTGAAACTCATTCATCCCCTTGAGCCAGCCAATGGGGAGGAATATGATAATGCAAATACATGTTTTGTCTTCTCATTTTCAAAAATTTACCATGTTAAAATAAACTTTGCTTTGTTTTTTATTTGTAGAATCAGCTAAGTACCCATATTTAAGTGCTCTCCCTATTTTTTTTTTTTTTTTTTGAGGTTTTTGTTTTTGTCTGGTTTTTTGTTTGTTTTTTGTAAATAAGGTAACTGGGCAATCAAACACCTTTTGGGGATCCTGGCTTTAGTATTTTATCAGCCATTTCAAAATTAAATACAAAAATCCTTTGTAAGAAACTTGCATCCTAATTTTTCTTTATTGCAATTGAAAGTGTAAATAATAAGACAATGTACGTAAGACCTTCCTAATGTCTAATACAAACTGGGCTCTAGCAAGTTGCCCTATTTTTATTAGGGTTTTGAAGGTTTTTTTTTTTTGTGTGTGTGTGTGTGTGTTGTTTCTTTTTCTTTTTTAAATGTACAGTAGAGTAGTGTCTGTATTAAGGTGTTAACTGTAGTGGGGTTTTGTCCAACAAGCCTGAAATTTATACTTTGAAATAAAACTACTGGGTTTTTAACATCCTGAGTACTCTGATTCATTCTGATTATTTACCCTTGTGGCTTTTTTGTTTTTAAAAAATACTCCACCTTGTTTAGAATCACCCATTACATACTGTAAAGTATGGCTTATTTAACGTACTTGGCAATTCCATGGCACTTGGACCACATCTAACTGTCCAGTTTCGAAAGAAAGTTGCTATGCAGGGTTGTTGCCAGATTGTATAGGCACTTTTAACTTATGGGAGGCAACAGTAAGGTTTACTGTATTGTATGCCTAGCCTACACCACGAAAAGACTCAACTGATGCCTATTAGTGACCAGAAAAATCACTAACTGCTAGAGGTTCCTTTGAAAACGAAGCTCCAGCTTCCCC